TTTTTGCCATTTTTTTGACAAAAATCCAAAAAAAAAAAAAACCGTTAGTATAGGACAAACCCAAATATTTAGGATTTTGGAAAAGAAGTAAAATAATTAAAAAAATTATTTTCGCATTTTCAAAAATTTTATTATGATAAATTTTCACATTATACAGATAACTAACGGACAAATAACGGCGAGTGCATCTTTGGTGGGCAAAGCCAATATTAGAACTGGTCCAACCCCCTTTTTGTACCTGATGTTGTTGAATTTTTGTTCTTTGCAAACAAAATGTTGGTCATTTTAATTTTTTGATCTGAAAAAGGGCCTTAGACGTTAAGTATTTTGAAAATATATATTACATGTTACATATTAACTTTGTCAATATATATTTTAGTAGTATACATCTTTACATAAATACTTGAATTTGTGTATACAAACTTTCCTAACATACATATATGTGTATAATTTTAGAGTGGGCATTATTGAATAACTGCACCAAATCCCATGTGCATCAAATTACATCGCAAGCAAGCCACCAGTCTTAAAATAGGGAATGACATCGGGATTTGTTTGTATTCGTTCCTTCAGCCCAAATTTTGGGTCGGGCTCGGGTTGATTATAAACTCCGTCCAAGATGTTAAATTTGCGCTCATAATCAAATTGTCATATAAGTTCCCCATTCATTCGTATAACTCGTCAATATCATCGATATAGTTTAAAAAAAACCCTTTTGGTATAACCCACAAACATCATCCACATAGTTTACAAAACAATTATTATATATTCTAAAATTGTATTTATAGGTCCTTACTTTGTAGGTATAACCCTCAAAATTCGTTTGAGTGCCCTATAAAACCATCGCTATACCCGTAAATTCCGTACATACTATACCCAAAGCCATTATTAAAAAAATGGAAACCATAGGTATACTCCCTATCCATTGGTATTGTTCCCAGAAACCGTTGCCAAAAGATAAATTGCCTTAACACTTGGAAACTGTCGGTATAGGTTAGAAAACCTGTCGGTATAGGTTAGAAAAAACCGTCGTTATAGGTTGTTTTGGCATTTTTTTTGACAAAAATAAAAAAAAACCGTCCGTATAGGACAAACCCAAATATTTAGGATATTGGAAAAAAGTAAATTAATTTAAAAAATATTCAAAATTTGTTTTCGCATTTTTAAATATTTTATCTTCATAAAATTTCAAATTATACAGATAACTAATGGACAAATAACAACGAGTACCAAACCTGATGTACCAAAGCCGGGGTATGCATCTTTGGTGGGCAAAGCCCATACTAGAACCTGTCCAACCCCCAATTTGAACCGGATGTTGTTGATTTTTCTGTCTTTGCGACAAAAAGCTGGGCTTTTTAATTTTTTGAGCCGAAAAAGGGCCTTAGCCATTAAGTTTGTTGAACATATTTATTACATGTATACATATTAACTTTGTAAATATATATTTTTGTTGTATATATATTTATATTTATACATGAATATGCGTATACAAACTTCCCTAACATACATATATATATATATATATATAATTATAGAGTGGGCATTGTTGAATAACCGCACCAAATCCCGAATGCATCAAATTACAACGCAAGCAGCCCACCAGTATTTAAATTGGGGATGACATCGGGATTTGTTCGTACTCGGCCCTTCAGCCCAAATTTTAGGGTCAAGCTTGGGTTGACTATAAACTCCGCCCAAGACGTTCGATTTGCGCTCATAATCAAATTGTTTATATTAGTTCCTGGTTCATTGATATAACCCCACAAAATCGTCAACATAGTTTAATAAAACCCTTTAGTATAGCCCAAAAACATCGTCCGCATAATTTACGAAACAATTATTATAGCTTCTAAAATTGTATGTATAAGTACAAAGTTTGTAGGTTTAACCCTCAAAAGTCATTTGAATGGCCCTATAAAACCATTGGTAGTGCCCTAAACTCCGTACGTACGGTATCCAAAACCGTTAATAGAGAAATGGAAACCATAGGTATTGCTCCCTATCCGTTGGTATTGTTCCCGGAAACTGTCTCCAAAAGATAAGTTGCCGCAACATTTGGAAACCGTCGGTATAGTTTTGCAAAAATCATCGATATAAGTTGTTTTGCCATTTTTTTGATAAAATTCAGAAAAAACCGTTAGTATAGGACAAACCCAAATATTTAGGATTTTGGAAAAAAAGTAAAGTAAATGAAAAATTATTAAGAAAATTGTTTTCGCATTTTCAAAAATTTTATCTGCATAAATTTTCACATTATACAGATAACAAATTGACAAATAACGGCAAGTGCAAAACCTAATGTACCAAAGCCAGGGTATGCATCTTTGGTGGGAAAAGCCCATATTAGAACTGGTCCAACCCCCTTTTTGTACCAGATGTTGTTGAATTTTCATTCTTTGCAAACAAAATGATGGTCATTTTAATTTTTTGAGCTGAAAAAGGGCCTTAGACGTTAAGTATTCTAAACATATATATTACATGTTACATATTAACTTTGTAAATATATATTTTAGTAGTATACATATTTACATAAATACTTGAATTTGTATATACAAACTTTCCTAACATACATATATGTGTATAATTTTAGAGTGAGTGTTATTGAATAACTGCACCAAATCCCAAGTGCATCAAATTACAAGGCAAGCAGGCCACCAGTCTTAAAATAGGGAATGACATCGGGATTTGTTTGTACTCGTTCCTTCAGCCCAAATTTTAGGTCGGGCTCGGGTTGACTATAAACTCCACCCAAGATGTTAAATTTGCGCTCTTAATCAAACTGTCATATAAATTCCCCATTTATATTCTCCCAATCCATTGGTCTTGTTTCTAGAAACCGATACCAAAAGATAAATTGCCTTAACACTTGGAAACCGTCGGTATAAGTTAGCAAAAACCGTCTCTATAGGTTGTTTTGGCATTTTTTTTGACAAAAATAAGAAAAACCGTCAGTATAGGACAAACCCAAATATTTAGGATTTTGGTAAAAAGTAAAGTAATTTAAAAAAAATTCAAAATTATTTTCACATTTTCAAAAATTTTATCTGCACAAATTTTCAATTTATACAGATAACTAATGGACAAATAACAATGAGTACCAAACCTGATGTACCAAAGCCAGGGTATGCATCTTTGGTGGGCAAAGCCCATAGTAGAACTGTCCAACCCCCAATTTGAACTGGATGTTGTTGAATTTTCGGTCTTTGGGACAAAAAAATTGGGCTTTTTAAATTTTTGAGCTAAAAAAGGGCCTTAGCCATTATGTATGCTGAACATATTTATTACATGTATACATATTAACTTTGTAAGTATATATTTTGGTTGTGATATGAAATTAATTATAGCCGATTGAAGACAATCAAGAATCAGCAAGAATGCAAATCAGAGGGTGAGGTGTGCGCATGCTACACATCATTTTTATTGTTGTATACATGGTTTTAATGATGTTTTGCAATGGTTCTTACCCTATTTGAGTAGAATTTCAAGAAACTAGGAGTTTGGGACAATCTAGGGTGAAGAGAGCATACTTTGGCCCATCAAGAAGAAAAGCCCAGCTGAATTTCTGATAGAGATATAGGAATTATTGCTCATAGATAGAGTGGGTTGTGCTCGAGAAAGGCTGCTCATAAAATTAGTGTTTCGCCAACCCAAGACTGAATTCACTTTGGTTGGGCTGCTTAATGATTTAATTGCTAAATCGGTTTTGCTAGTTTCTTGCATGTAATAATTCTTCTCATCATTAAATGTGGTATGATCCAAAACTGCTTAGGGTAGTTTGCTAATTAGGAATTGGGGTTTTTCTTTGTTTATTATTTCGGTTTATCAGATAACAAAAGGTTGATTCAGTACTAGTAGTTGTTGGATCAATCCTCGTGGGAACGATACTCTACTCATCATTATATTAATTGATCGGCTAGTGCACTTGCTAGTGTCTTCTAAGCGCATCAAGTTTTTGGCGCCGTTGCCGGGGATTATCACAACAATATTAGAAACCATCAACTGATGTTAATCTGATTTTAATTTTGTACATTATGTTTATGATACTTGTGTATTAGTCTCTTTATGACTTTGACTTGTACAGTTTATGACACGCAGAAGTGAAAAGGAGAGCATCACCTACTATCCCGAGATTGAACAAATTCTCTGTCATTGCCTTAGAGCTTCTAAGCAAAGGAGAGCTGAAAGTGCAGAGATGGCCGAACAAAGGACCACGATGGATTATGCCAAACCAACCCTCACCGGGGCAGCCTCGAGCATTGTGAGACCAGCAATAGCTGCTAATAACTTCAAGATCAAACCAGCAATCATTCAGATGATCCAGAACACAGTTTAGTTTTGTGGCTTAGCTCATGAAGATCCAAACACTCACATCGCCAACTTCTTGGAAATATGTGACACATTCAAGCACAATGGGGTTAGTGATGATGCGGTGAGGCTCAGATTGTTTCCGTTCTCGTTGAAGGACAAGGCTAAGACTTGGCTGAACTCTCTACCAGCTGGATCGATTGCTACTTGGGATGAAATGGCCAACTGCTTCCTATCCAAGTATTTCCCTCCATCCAAGATAGCAAAGATGAGGAATGATATCACCACCTTCTTTCAGCAGGACGGAGAGTCATTGTATGAGTCATGGGAGCGTTACAAAGAGTTACTAAGGAAGATCCCTCATCATGGACTTCATGTATGGCTGCAAGTTCAAACATTTTATAATGGGTTGACCGAAGCCAATAAGACTATTATGGATGCTATAGCTAGGGGATCCATTAATAACAAGACCCCTGAAGTTGCCCATGCACTCATTGAGGAGATGGCTGCAAACAACTACCAATGGCATTCCGAGAGAGCCCAAGTTAGGAGACAGCCAGGACTTCATAATGTAGACACCTATACAGCACTATCTACACAAATTGGTGAAACCCTTTCCCCAAAATTTCAATCAACCAGAGAAGAAATCCAATCTAGAGGAGTTGATGACCAAGTTCATTGATAGTGCAGAAATGAGATTTCAGAACCAAGAAGCATCGATCAATAACTTGGAAACTCAACTGGGGCAGTTGGCACAGATGATATCTTCTAGAGTTCAAGGCGCTTTACCTAGCAACACCGAAGCAAATCTAAGTGAGCAGGTGCAAGCCATTACCTTGAGGAGTGGTAAGGAGCTGCAAGAGGTGGAGAAGAAGGCAAAGTGAGCGCAACCCTAGAAACCGAAAAGAAGGAGGAAGAGCAATCTGATTCAAAGAAAGAGAAAAGTCAATAGCCGCAAGTACCATTTCCAAATAGGCTAAAGCAATACAAATTGGAAAAGGAATTCGGTAAGTTTCTTGAAATTTTTAAGAGTTTGCATATTAACATTCCTTTTACAGATGCTTTAGCTCAGATGCCACACTATGCAAAGTTCTCGAAGGAGATATTGGCAAACAAAAGGAAACTGGGAGACGTTGCTACAGTTGCACTGAATGAAGAATGCTCAGCAATCCTCCTCAACAAGCTGCCTCAGAAACTGAAAGATCCATGGAGTTTCACTATTCCTTGCACTATAGGCAGTTTGAAAATTAATAAGGCATTGTGTGATTTAGGAGCTAGTATAAATTTGATGTCATATTTGGTTTTTAAGAAATTAGGGTTGGGTGAACCCCAACCCACTAGAGTTGCATTGCAATTAGCTGATAGGTCCATCAAGCATCCTAGGGGAATCATAGAAGATGTGCTTGTTAAGGTTGACAAATTCATGTTTCTAGTGGATTTCATAATGTTAGACATGGAAGAGGATGTTGATGTTCAACTTATCCTAGGGCGACCCTTCCTAGCTACAAGAAAGGCAACAGTTGATGTCCAAAAAGGACAACTCAGCCTTATGATTCAAGATGAGGAAGTAACTTTTAAAATGTCTGATGCTATAAAGCATGCATCTTCTAGTGATGATTCATGTCGTATGATAGATGTCATTGATTATGCGGTTGGTGGATGTTTTCAGGTCAACGGTCAGCACCTCAAACCATATACAGCAAATGGAGCATTGCCTACCCCACCAACTGTGTACCTAGATGTTCATTGATCCCACTGGAATGTCGAGCTTCAATCGAAAAACAAGCGCTTATTAGGAGGCAACCCAATGCTGATGAGTAGTTTTTTTTTTATTTATTTGTTTTTCTCTTTTTCTCTTTTTTGTATCATTTGAGTTTTTAGGGTGTTAATTTTGTAAATTGTTGATCCCTCCTAGTGTTTCTCATTCTCTACTTCTAGTTTCTTGTGATCTTAGCAGCTAGAGGGTCCAAACGAATGAGCCATTCCAGATTCCATAATGCTCTTCAGGGAAGTTCTTTAAACCCCTTGAAATGCTTGAAGTCCCATAGCTCACATTGCTGAATTCATCCTTGCGTTTTCTCTATATGAACATTGAGGACAATGCTCATGATAAGTGTGGGGGAGGCTATAGCTGTGCACCTCAATCACCCCAATACATGAATGCATTGATAGGCTGCATAAACTGGAAATTCCCTCAAGATTATTGTTGTTTATAAGGTGAATTCCAAGAGGGAATACGATGAAGTCAAAGGAAATCATTGTAAGTTCTAGAATGTGTTCCTGTGAATTATCCAATTTTATCACAATACATGAGGATGATGAAGTTGAATAGGACTTTCATCATGACCAGCACCAACTCTACTCGTGTGTATAGTGCGCTTGGTTGAAATCTTAATGATCATTCGAGCTATTAATGCACATCTGAACTGTTAATGCATGAATTTCAACAATTGCAAAAGAAAAAAAAAAGAGAGAGAAAAGAGAAGAAGGAAGGACAAAGTCCGAATTACTCCGTTGTCATGAACTGAATAGTAAGACTAATGGTTCATGATATGAGTTCAGTCCTAACTCCGTTATTCCAAGTTGAATAGTAAAACTAGCAACTGGGAATATGAATATTGTTATCTGCCTCTAGCCTGTGACCCGTGTGAGATGGAGCATAAAATGCACTCACACCAAAGAAAAAAAAAAGAGAAATAAAAGAAAGAAAAGAATTCGGTGACGCCTGAGGTTCAAAGGGACAAAAACATAGTTGGAAATTCAATTTAATGCAATGACAGGATTTGAGACCAAGCTCGAGGTGATGGTTAACTATGGCGGTCAAGGAGCTGCTATACATATTGAATAGAATTGAGTGCTGGAGCATGAAGAATCTCATGCTCTCCCTTCCTTTGTTTTCATGTATGTGGTAAGAGTGGCCAATCATGGGGACGAATCATAATGTTTATGTAGGTTTCTCGACCACTTAATGTATTCTCATCCTAAAATTCATTCGGTAGATGGTAATAGTCTAGGGAATGATCAGTTTATGGGTAATATCTTTCCTTGAGGACAAACAAAAGCTTAAGTGTGGGGCAGTTTGATGTGTGCGCATGCTACACATCATTTTTATTGTTGTATACATGGTTTTAATGATGTTTTGCAATGGTTCTTACCCTATTTGAGCAGAATTTCAGGAAACTAGGAGTTTGGGACAATCTAGGGTGAAGAGAGCATACTTCGCCCCATCAAGAAGAAAAGCCCAGTTGAAACCCCATGGGAAGCACTAAAGCCACCAAGGAGAGAGGTCCAACTGCAGCCCACTAAGGCCACCATGGTTCGTTTGACATTTATTCATACCTGAATTGATGACCTTCGAATTCTTTGTTCTTAATGCATCTATGGTGATTAAATTTCTGATAAAGATATAGGAATTATTGCTCATACATAGAGTGGGTTGTGCTCGAGAGAGGCTGCTCATAAAATTAGGGTTTTGCCAACTCAAGACTGAATTCACTTCGGTTGGGCTGCTTAAAGATTTAATTGCTAAACCGGTTTTGCTAGTTTCTTGTATGCAGTAATTATTCTCATCATTAAATGTGGTCTGATCCGAAACTGCTTAGGGTAGTTTGCTAATTAAGAATTAGGGTTTTTCTTTGTTTATTATTTCGGTTTATCAGATAACAAAAGGCTGATTCAGTACTAGTAGTTGTTGGATCAGTCCTCGTGGGAATGATACTCTACTCATCATTATATTACTTGATCGGCTAGTGCACTTGCTAGTGTCTTCTAAGCGCATCAGAGGGTTGTACATGTGATTTCACACCCGGAAAACAAAGGGTTAATCGCAGATAGTGAAATCGTTATTTGCAATCGCAGATTGTAATTTCTCAAACTACAAAAGGTCTTCTCTTCCTTTATAAACTCCAACAAGTCCTCAGATTTGAAAAAAATAGAAATAACTATTTTTCTATTAATTGCATCGCATTAAATCCTATACATTTTGTCTTAAAATAAAAAAATTACTTATAGACAAAAACGAATAGAATAAAATTTGCAGGGTGCACAAATCTTGCCACCTTTAAAGAATTCAATCTCCATCACATGACAGCCCAAGAATTCAAGAAACAATTATAGAACCATTCCATAAACATTAAAGAATAATAAAAAATTAATTTCATATCTACAAGGCCATAACTGAGAACAAATTTCTCAGAAAGACATTAAACTTGCGCAAATCGGGTAGAACAATTTTTGCCCATTTGCACAGGTTTAGATCTAGTCCAGATTTGGTTCAAGACTTGAACTTGGCTCTGATACCACTGAAGGGATGGGATATTCATCGTATGGATGGCCAAAACATGTAGGGTGGCTCTGCAAAATTTCAAAAATTTATTTCTCCCATTCGGGAATCGTATTCCCTAATTTAGAAAAAACTACATTTTTCAAGGATCTTTCTTGAAACAAACTAGACCAAATCTGAAACCAAGATTAGGGAGAGGAATATCTAATATGGAATCCATGAAAAAAGCTCCTCCTAATGTAGGTGTTCACACCCAAAGAGGGTACCAAATCCTTCCTCTACTAAAGATGACACAGCTTAGGGTGAGGCAAGATTAGCTAGTGGATTCTTCAGCAAGAATCCCATTAGATCAGATGACTCCAATCGACCCTTCACTTACACCTCAACCATTAGATTAGACACAACCATCAGACTCGGGACATCCCAAAACACTTACCCGTGAAATTTGAACTCAAGATTCCTTCGTTCACTCATCCATCAAACAAAGAATCTATTTTAAATATTCTCGCACCCACAACCCATATCCACTTGATCCGAACACATCTAAAGCAATCAAAAATTTCCAATCACTCCAGAATACCAAAAAACCCCTACATATGAAATTCCATCCCAAAACACCTTCATTTACCCTCAATCAAACCAAGATTCTATTTCAACGTTTTAGAATGACCAAATTACAAATCTGTCTGATCCGGGCCCAATTGGCCCAATCTGATTTTACCAATCATCTCAGACTACCCAAAAACCCTACCTTGAGAAATTTCACCCAAAACTTCCTTATTTTCCCCTTCGTCACACAAAGATTCTATTTTAAGCCTTCAAATTAACTGAGTCGAACCCTTTCCAGATCTACCCAATCCAGGCCCAGTTGGGCCAATCTGACCCCACCAATCAACTTAGAATGTCCAAAAACCCCACACACAAAAAGATTTCATTAACCCTTCCACCCAAAAAGATTCAATTTTGGCTAATCCTCCTAGCCCACACACGCAAACCCTTTCTCTGCATTCAGATCTGTCTCAACCCTCCATTTCCTGACCCAAGAACCACCCACCATTGAACCAGAATCCCTGGTTTAACCCCTGGACCTGGTTTGACCTGAATGTCCCAAAATTACAAAAATACCCCTAATTTTCTTAAAAATTATAAAACTACCCCTGCGCCCTACTAAACCAAACCCATGTTCTCATTTGTGAGGGAGACACTATTCATTTGATTCCTCTTCTTCCCAGTTCGAACCCAGACACTATTCATCTCCCCCTTTGTTCGAACCCAACAAGGCGGCAGCGGTGAACCCAGATCGACTTCCATCTCCGGCCTTCCTCACCCACTCTCTTCTCCTTCTCCCCCTCCCCACATTTCTCTTTCTCCCTCCATTTTTCATCACCGCCGCTGCAACTGGCAATCGGTAGATCTGAACTCCGCTCCGAGTCCGATCTCACCTTCCTCCAATTCCTTCCACCCTCTTATTCTCCGATCGTTCTCATGTGCTCTCCACCTCTCTCACTATCTTCTCTCTTGACGGTGAGTCACTGTTCACCTTCTCCTCAGTCGAAAATAGGGGAGTTGCAGCGACGAGTTTCTCCCCTTTACTCCCACTCGAATCCACTGGAAACCCTACCATTTCAATTGTTTTTTCTCCTTCATTCATTTTGTTTCATCCCACATCTTTTTTTCTACCATCTTGATCCCCAGTCAACCCTCAGTAACTTCATCTTCACCGTTGGCAGATGCAGAGCCTTTGGTAGCAAAAATGATCAAATTAAGTGTGGATCATCTGAGGCATCATCTTCTCATCGTCCTTCCGATCGTAATCAGCGTTTCTGTTACCCTTTTTTGAAAGCAAATCCTCCGAAACAAGGGAATCACCTGTTATGTGGTCCAAACCCAAGCTAAATATCAACCCAGGTCAATTTCATTCTCGATATTTCTTCCGATTTATATTTCTTTTCTTTTCTTCTTTTTTTTTTTTTTTTGTTGCGTTCTTCTGTATAGTCGGCAATTGGGTGATTGTCGAAGCCGGTGGGTAAGCTTCGGTTGAACCTGTCTCTGTGTAACTTTGGCACCAATCCATTTCCGTCGGATCCTGTAGACTCTTGATCTCAACCCAGCCCCCACTATGAACCTCTGTTATTTTATTTTATCGGTTTTGTTTTCTGTTTAGATTTTTTTATTATGAATTCATTTTGAATCTGTTAAGATAGCATGTTTATCTTTTCTCCTTCGTTTTGAACTTTGAACTTTGAAAGTCTCCTGTATAAGATTATTGCTTATCTGAAGTTCTATTTGTTTAGCTAATGATAAATTAATTTGTGTATTGTGTTCTTGCCTTTTTTTACTTAAAATTAGTAATTGTTCAGATTCAAAGACATTATTTTAGTTTGCTTATTATACGTGCCTAGAATTTAGGAAATTAAAAAAAGAAGAAGAAGAAGTATAAGAAATGAATAAAATTAAAAAATAAAGAT